ACAGACTGCCCTGACCCTCTCTAGCTACACTACTGCATCTCTAACATTTTTTTGAATGCCTACAACATTTTGGATTAAAAAATAACATCAACAAATGTACATTTAGTGTGAAGATACTTTCATTTTTAAGCTACAAAATTGATAAAAAAAAAAGGATTATACCCTCTCCCTGAGAAAATAGTTGCTTTACAAGGTTTCCCACAACCAGAATCAACTAACAACTTCAAAGGTTTATTGGCATGATAAATTAGTATTGAAGATTTTAGCCACATTGTTCATCATAATTAGCCCCTATTGACACACATACTAAAAAGCACTTGGAAAAGAATGCAAAAGTTTTACTTTAAGGTCCTGCTTTAGATACTTTTCATGAAGCAAAGAAAGCCTTGGTTAACTTTGTAAAACTAAGTTATCTCAGATAGATGAGAACACGGTGCTAACTTTAACAATAGATGTTCATCAAATGCTTTTGGTGCCATCTTATAACAAAATATTGACAGTCCATGGGTATGGTATACTAACTATTTATATATAGATTGTATCAATTGATTGCTTACACTATTTATATATAGACAGTACCAATTGATCACTTCTACTATATATATATATATAGACAGTACCAATTGATTGCTTAAAATCTGTCTACAGTGAAAAAAGTCACACAAGCTCCTAACACAAATCAAAGAAAACCTGTTATAACGCACTTCATAGCGCTTATAATATAAGTAATGCTTTGGCAACTTGCTGTGATACTTGTATTAATTAGTCTGAAGACTAACTCCAAATGGCTTCTTCTTCTGTCTGTTCTGGTGCTCTTTATTTATAGTTATGGACTAGTTCATATAGTCACCAGGGGTGTACTATTTACTCCACAACAAAACCATACATAATAAATCAGATTTCATAAGAAAATCTTTTCCAATCAAGGGTGAGGTAGAGTATTTGTATTTGTTAGATCATCACCCCTGATGATAATTACAGGTGGTGCGATGTTTGAAAGGCTCTTCTTTTTGCTCCAATAGACATAAGTCATGTATGTTTTTCAGACACAGACTGAAGATTGTATTGAACTGTTCATAACTTCAAGTTCATTTCTTTCTTTATCTTTCTGTTACAAGTCTTGTTAATACATTTATTATTATTATTTTTTTTTTTAATTCCATGTTTTATGACCTTTTTTTTTTATTTGGATTCACATGAGTCCACCAAATATTGTTTGTGGAACAAATGTATCAAGAGGCATAAAATGATAATACTTTCCATTCTCGCAACAGTAACAAAGTCCTATTTAATAGCCACAGAAAATACTGTACTATATCTGATACTATTTATAATAAAAATAAAATTAGGTATTTATGATAGTTATGAATTTTTATCAGTTTCCAAAAATGTAGAAGCAAACATTAAAAGAATTACAGATTGACAAGCAAATCACCATTTTCAGAGCTGTATGAACTGACAAAATATTGATATTAAACATTCTTAGTTAAAATTGACTTAAATATTGATCTATAGATTGTAAACATTTCATGAAATATATAAGCATTTTTATTGAAAAGACTTATTCAGGTATTCAAACTATAATCAAGTGTTCTTAAAAGTAACAAAAAATACAAATGTAATTAGATTATTATAATTGTATCACAATAAATATTCATTTTTTTCATTATGTAATAAAGGATAAACTTAATTTGTTTTACAGTCTTCAACTGAAAGACCTGTTATACTGAATTGTATTAGAAATAATTAGTAACTTTGGTTTGACTAAACAAATAAACATTACTTTTAAGATTACTATCTATTATAAAATGAAAATTGAATCCAATAAATCCCTAAAATTTATAGAAATCAATTTTTAAAAATGAAAAAAAATACATCTTTAATATAGAAAACATACATGCTCCATTCAGGGCTGGATTTAGGCCATAAAAGCGTCTGGGCTAATAGAATTTGGTGGCTCCTTTATTTTGTATGCTAGTGGCCCCCCCACTCCTAGTCTATAAAAAAAGATATATTTTTAGATGATGCTTTTTTGTTGTAAAACATGAAAATATGTATCTAAAAAAGATCCATCAAAATGTAAATGGGACCTCTTCAAGGAGCTCCATCAAATTTAAAAGACCCACTCTAACTAAAGTGGCCCAAATTCATATTCAAATACTCAAAGTTTCAAATTAGTTCAAAGGAGCCCCATTACATCTGAAAATAAACAAATCTCCTCTGTTCTTGTATTTTTATTTTTTTTAATTTTTATCAGGGACCCAAAACCAGAGGGCCCTGGAGGTCCCTCTAGTCTTGGGTCCCCTGGGCTGCACCCCATACTAACTCATATACAAATCCAGCACTGGCTCCATCTATAGTAGATAAGTATGCAAATGTAAGACCAGTAGTGGACAAAAGTGAGAAAATGTTAATTGATGTTTGAATGCTCATTTTCAAGCTAGCAGTACTAAAAGCATGTTTTCTGTAAAATCAGTACCTGAATTAATTAAGCCACATCTAAGGTCAATATGATACTACTACTCTTGAAATCTATTATATTGAATTTAGTGAAATTCAAGTCATACCAAATGACCAGAATTATACTTAGTATACTGATTGGAGTTCCCTTGTATACTAATAAAGAGAACTCAAGTAGTAAATACAACACCAAATTTGTCATTAAGATCACAAGTTGAGAATTATAAACCAAATATATGCATAGAGAGTTGAGAATTATATAAAATGTTTTATAAATTTGTAAAACACAATTATAAAATGAAATTATTACAACTACAGGATATAAAAGAATTTTGTAAGGTCTACATATCAACACAAATCTCTACCAAAAAAGTTGCTTAATGAACCATTTTGAGATTAGTTATTTTAGTTTCCACTTATTCTAATAGCTTTATACTATTATATATTACCATCTTTTTAAATCAATAGATTTGTTATGTAAGATATAAAGTACAAAAGAATTTTCTAAGCTGTCTGCTTCAAACCAGAAATCAGGTAGCAAAAAAAAAAAGTGTCAGGATGATTGCAAAGGGCTTCAGTTTCAAAAAAATTACTCATAAGTTGTAGGTTTCCAGCTTTAGGTTTAAAGCTTAATGAATAAAACACTTACAAGAATACTTATCTCTGTATTAACATTATCATGTTGACTATTAGACAAATTGTGTGCTTAGCTTTTTAGCTTGTTGAATTTGAAAAAAAAATACTGTACCTAATAATCATTATTTTAAAATTTAGAAAAGAAATTGCTTGAAAAAAATTGTCTACAGAAAAACACCTAAGTCAGCATTTACTCTGTTGTTAGTGTGTTTGTCTCTTGCAAGTGCTGTGTACTTGACAAATATATATATATATATATATATATATATATATATATATAAAAAAACAAAAACAAAATAGAATCAAATTAATCATACTATTTAAGGAATTTGAGAATACATTATTTTTATTTTAAACTTTAAAAGAATGTTAAAATCTTTTTAAAACTGTACTATTATTGTTGAGGTCATTAAAAGTCTTTTATAATTCACTTGGCACTAGTAGCCTTGTTCACTAACACAAAGTTGAGTAAAATGGATTTTGTTCTATTTGAATTTAGGTGTAATTAGCTTAACAATTTTCCTTGAATCCAAATTTAGGCAATGTTTATAAAGAAAATGTAGAAATCCACTTTCATATGTTTGGGCTTTATTAAAATTCAAATCACTTTTTAAAACAATAGTTCTGAGTGAATGAAAGGCGTTTACAGTAATAATAGTGTCAAGGGAAAAAATGTCCTTTTGACACACTTTTTTGTGCCCAGATTTGTATATTATTATGCCTAATGCAATATTAAAATCTTTTAATAGGCTTTATATTAAAAAAGCACTTTATCTTTTTATGAATGAAAATTAAACACTAAACAGGTCAGGAAGTAAAATAACATTTGCATTAAAAATAGTGCAATATTTAAGTTTGAAATGTCACACAATGTTTTATAATTGTTTTAATGAGAATGTATGGGATTGGTATGCCTTTTTTAAATTAATCTTGGGAAGAACTAAATCCCATTTTTTAAGCTTAGTTTGGATGATAGCATTGAAAAGAAGCAATATTCATCAATACAGATGCAATTAATTATTAAAAATCTTAATAGTATAGTAAATAACAAAAAATTGACTGCAAAATCAACTTTAACTCAGAGATCTTTTTATAAAACCACAGCAACTTTTCTCACTTAAAGATCTGCAAAGATTGTTGAATAAAAAAACTAGATTTGCATAGTTTATACAAATTTATTTCAAGCCAAATCTATAAATTTAGTGATAACCTATTTTTTTCAACAGAATTTTCCAGTCCACTCAAAACAAAATAATCCCTGATCAAAAGTTACAGACCAAGTAAATGATCAAATGTTCTTTATAAAATAAAAAAGTGAAAAATTTGCTTTTTTGTATCTTTCACCTCATACATACAGATACATGCATACATATTTCATAAGATCTTAAAATAAATAGTACTAAAAGTAGAAAAAAAATCAAAAGAGAAAGACAGGCAAAAGAATAAAAAAATACAGAAATATTTGTATATAATACACATGCACCCATAAATTTATAATTTATAAATTTACAAGAGTGAACATTGTATGCAAGTTGCATATTAGTGTTTATATATATATATATATATATATATATATATATATATATAGATTCCCATTTCAGTTTGCAAGTACAAAATAGTGTATGTATGCATATGATTTTGTTCACACAGTAGAGGTGCTGTGTATGCAAACATACTAGATACTGAAAATTTATACACAAACTGATGTGTGTAGGAGTAGAGGGATACTAAATGGTGACAATTTGAAAGAACAGCTTTGTGTGTTCTGTTCTCTTAAGGTGATGCCTGTTTCTAGGAGAAAAATAAAAATAAATCATTCTTCTTGGAAGATAAAGTTTGATGTTAGGAGACCTTGCAGTCAAAACAGTCACTGACCTCAACTGTTCATATTTAATTACATCAACTCAAATTAAATCAGCAACATTCATGGGCATCTCTTCAATTGATGTGTTGTAAAATTGTTCAATATCTTGAAGAATGCGTGCATCCTCCTGGATGATGAAGTTGATGGCAACTCCTTTACGTCCAAAACGTCCTCCTCTGCCAATTCTAATAAGATTCAGAAAATAAATTTATAATGTAAATAAATGTAAGTAAATAAATTTATAATGATCATTATCCATATCAGAAACAGTTATAAGTACACATAAGTAGGCATTTAAAGCAAATGGCTGAAAGAGTCACATTTAAAAAAGATATTATAAACAGGGTAATATAATTTGAAAAGTGGCAAATTATACGAATTACATTTAAAATAAAAAAACAATGATTCTTTTTAAGTTCCTGGCATGTAAATACACTTGGAATTAACAAATAAGAATTTGAATTAAATTTTTTAACTTAAAAAAAAAATAAAATCTTTAATTTTCACAAACATGTAACATTAAATTTTAAAATCTTATATAAAAGAAGAGTCTAAAAATTGTAGTTGCTTAGTAAGATATTTTGTAGCAGGCAAAATCATATTAATAAACAAGATTATAATTTGCATTTAGAAAAATTTAAGAGATGAACATTTTAATAATAGAATCAAATAATAATCTTATTAATTCATTGTTACGATTAAAAGAAAGAAGTCTTGTAACTGATAAGAAGGCAACTGACCTGTGTATATAATTTTCCCTGTTTGTAGGTAAATCATAATTAATGACCAGGGATACTTGCTGCACATCAATCCCACGTGCCAGAAGATCAGTTGTGATGAGCACACGGCTTGAACCAGAGCGGAATTCTCGCATAATTACATCCCTTTCTTTTTGGTCCATGTCCCCATGCTGAAGAAAACACAATACAGTATTATTTATAAGTGATGTTCACTTTATTATTTTTAAATGGAGTATTTATTATATGTATCAAGAAAGTAAATTATTCTATGAAATTAATCTACAACCTGATTATATAATCAGGATTTTATTAATAGATAATGATACACATTCAATCTATTAGAGCCAATTTAACTTCTAGATACATGCAGAGATAAAGAATATTAGAGATCAAAAAACAAATTTTTTTTTTTAATTACAATTTGTAAAGAATGTATGAAAGGCTGATAATATTTACACTATTTACATTGTTCAGAATGTTGTCTTCATCTTTATTGTCATATTCACAACGTTTTGGCCACTCTGACCTTTTTCAGGTGATATATATTGGATCATGCAACAGTCCAAACAATGTAAATAGTGTAAATAGTTACAATACCTCATCTCATCTCAACAGAGGTTGATAATAACCTTATTTTGAGGTTAGGCTTATGGCCACATCCTGTTGGAATGCTGGTTCCTGTATAATCACTGAAGTTAAACAATGTCAAGTCTGGTCAGCACCTAGATGAGTGAGCATTTAGGAATACCAGGTACTGTAAGTTTGGCTTGAGATTGTTAATCAGAGAGCCAAGTCTCAATTCTTGTTGGTTTCGTTATATTCACTCATGTGTAAATACCCTTGGAAAAGGCATAAATTCACCTCTTCTCCCCCCCAAGCTATGGGTTAATTAGTAAGACTTGTATTACTAAACCATTATTATCTCAAAAAATAAAATATTCTTACGTTCTAAAAATATTTTTTGGCTTTCACCTGCAAAGGGTTGATAAGCCGTAGAAAACAAATCAATTGAAACAATTATTATTTTGAGGTTAAAAATTTTATAGAATTTAAGTGAAATAATCAAATTTAATAAAACCATTTTTTAAAAATGTATAATGCTAAAAGCTTACTAAATAATATTTATTTCCTATTAGATTTTAATGAGGTTTTATGGGAGGCAATTTTTGTGGACATATATTTGAAAGAATGAGGGATTGTGAATGTAATTATATATGTTGTATAGATGTTATGGATGTTTCCAAATGTAGTAGCCACTGCTTGACCACATGGTGAAGAAAGGTATATTATTTTCAATGTAGCAAGGGCAGGTTATTTATGAAAGGTCACCAGCTAGTCATGTAAATGTTGTATTTCCTCTCTGGGTATATTATGATGACCACATCATCAGAGAATGAACAAAATTAATTTAACATCTCTGATTTTGGTTGACTTTCTATCTGTTTAAATACACTTCTATAGATCCACTTTGAAAAGGCTGCTTGCTTCTCTTTAGCTCATGGCCTTATATTCTAGTTGTGAAAGCTTTCTGATTGGTTAGTTGAACTATCTATTTTTAGAAATATGGAAATTTTAATCTTCTTGTTATCATTTGTTTATTTTTTTCTTACATCATGGTTGTGAAAGCTTTCTTATTGGTTGGTCCAACTATGGCTTTTTTTTTTGCTAAGTAAATTTTATTATTTGTCTATTTTTAGGGATGGTGAAATTTTGGATCTCTTGTTATTTATTATATGAAAATATTATAATAGAAATAAATAAATCAAAATATTTATTTATTTCTCTGTCACCACAGTTTTACAAGTATTTTTGAAATATTCCATTAGAAATGCTTATGTTTATATTTTATTAAATTGAACAGCCAAGGTTTTCATATCAAATTTGTAAATTTTGCTATACATTATCAATTTTAGGAGTAGAAAAGACCCTTTAAATTTTTAAATGGAAACAATGAGGTTCATATTTATTTCTTCCAACAAAAAACCAACAATTTCTTAAAAAAGAAATTGGATGTAAGGTTATTATTTATCAAATTGCCATTGTGGGTTATACAAATATAAGGCTACAAAAGAAACAACACTTATGCCCCTAATTTTGTTAATTTCAAAATCGGTTTCATTATATTATGTGGATATAGTCTAGAACCATACGATATGACAAAGAAAAAAATAAGCAACCAATCAAATCATTCAATTTTGATGATGAAAAGCCTGAACCTCTTAAAATAAATATAAATGCAGTCAACAATAAAAAATTAAGACACACTTGCTTTCAATAGGATTTAATTCAGTTACCACAAAATTCAAAGGAAATGTCTTCAGTCGTCTACACCATTTTCATCAACCACTGAATATATAAATCTCTCCATTCTATTTGTATGTAAATTCCCTTTCTCTTTTCATATACATACATACAGACTTATTTGAATTCAGATATCTGAAAGGAACATTCATTTCACATAAAACTTTTCTTTATCAACCAACTTTAAATTGCACCAACTTAATTTCTCTATTTTTTTGTTGGAACCATACATATAAAATTTTTGTTATTACTGTTCTGTTAATCTATGTATGTGTTGAATTAATTTATTCTGAAATGGTAAAAATCTTTTACCAGAATTTTGTTAGGGAACACACAGTTAATTTAAGCAGCACTCAAAATAAATATTAATTTTGGGTTCTTTAAATCACTTATTTCTTTAATTGTGGGTAAAGTGGCATTATAAAAAATATGAATCATTGCATTTCTCATAATCATAAAAATATATCAAATTTATAAATAAATTCAACTGTATTGCCTTCAAGTACTGGGGGTAAAGTAAATTAATAGATTGATAAATACCTGACAAGAATGTTAAAGTTTAAGTTTCTAGTTGTAGTTAATTTATAAAGTGTTTTTAATAATAAGCTGTAAATTTTAAACCTAATCATGGTTAAATATTTTAAAAAACCTGTCAAAAGGGAGGTCATTTTTACAAATGCAAATAATTAGTGATGATTCATTGGTAAAACATTAATACATAGGGAAGTCTTTAAAAGTGATACAACAGAAAGCTAAAAGAACAGCAAATCTTTTATATTTCTACATGAAATGCAGACACAATTATACAAAAAAATATTTACTAACATGATAAAAAGTTTTTATATTTAGAAATATGATTATTTTATCTGATATTCCACATGATTCAAATTCTAAGCTACTTGAAATCAGTAGTTTACATGTAAAACTAAATTTACAAGTCATTGTTAAGGCTGAAAAAAGTAAAATGTGTGCTTTTGAATGCTAAGGATTTAAACTTATGTAAGACTAGTAAAGAGAATATAACATTGTGTAATTAAGTAAGAAAAAACATAATGAGCTTGCTTGGCCGGTTAAATAGTTGCATATTTGCCAATGATTGGTATTTGAGCCAGAGTTGCAAATGCAGGTTTTTAAGGCAAGTAGACCCTCAACATATAGAAGATTAACAATACATTTCTATACCTATACCTCCCCAGCTGGACTTGTGTCTAATGACTAAGTTTACTAAATATTTAACAAAATTTATATGAACTACATAACTGAAGTAAAAAGCTGCTGATTGTAAACACAATATTTCCAAACCAGATTTATTGGATAGAATATTAGTTGAAAAATGTCTGCAAGTATATAGGGTAAATCAAGTTATAATAATCACAGATAATCGATCTAGAATCATAGTAGTCACAGTAGGTTCTTCTTTTAAGGAAACCAGAGTACTATTTCATTTTACTTAAATTTTATTTATAAATTTTAAAAAAGAAAAAGAAAGTATTCTAATAATCAGAAAATTGTCTAAAGTTTAAAATGAGACAAGATCTTTCCAATTGACTAGTGAAATTTTATAAAGTTTATTATTTGCTTTGATAATAAAGTATTATACAATAACTTAAATGTTTAACCCTTTAAAGTCGGACACCAAAATGCACCACAAGCTTACTCCCAAGAGCACCTGGATATGGCCACAATTGGGTAGCACTGTATTCTAAAATACAGCATTAACACCTGTCACATAATTAATTGAAAGTGCCAGAAATGTGCAAATTTTTAAAAAAATTTTGCAGCTTTTAAAAAATTGTCAATTTCCAAAACCATATATGGATTGCAAATAAGGCATAAGTATCTGGCAAAATTAAAATTCACATGTCTCTTGATCTCAAGGCACTTAAGAGCATCTCATACTGCTGGATAATATAATAGTGTAGTACAGATTATACAAAAAACATAGTTATACAGCTAATTTGAACACGTCTTACTGTTGAAGCCTTTATGGCAGAATTGGTAAAGTACTTTCATGCTAAGACAAACTTCGAGGGATGTGGGTTCAAATCTCACTAGAGGATTATTCTTTTATATTATTCTCTTATATGAGACCAAAATCATAATTGGTTTTTGATGTTTACATGGCTTCACTGATACAACATATGAATGTTAAGCTTTAACATCCCCTCCAAAAAAAGGAAAATCAATCTTGTATGTAAGTCAGAGATTAGAATCTTGACAATGAAAATATGAAATTAGAATCCCAAAATAAAATACTTTTGTTACTTTTAAAATCATACTTCAATTTTTTAAAATATGTTTTTCAAATTTGAAGAAATAAGACTACTGCTATGCACACACATACATACAGGGTTTAAAGCTGTTTGCCAAGAATCAACATAGTTCTTTGTTTAGCTAACATTGATAAATGGAAGGGTACCAATCAGTTTTCATGTTGCTTAATTTTGTTGACTGAGTGAAAATCAATTATTTCAAGAAAGTGTTGTTAGTATTATTTACACTATTTACATTTGGACCATTGTCCTCACCTTTGGAACAACAACAAAGATGAGGACAGTAGTCCGAATCTAAATAGTGTAAATAATGATAACACCTCATCCTAGAAATTCAGACAGATATTATCAATGTTTCTCTTTTATTTTTTTCTTTTAAACTTTTCTTTTACAGGAGTTTCATTTGGATTGCTTTGTTTTTCTGTTTGTTTTCATTATTTTTTCATGAATAGCAATCTAATAAAATAAGTTTAGCAAAACAATCCCGAAAAGAAAAGAAAAAACAAAAAATCTTTTCACATTCTAGAATACTATTGCTGTGAAAGTGAAGGTGAAAAACGAAGGTGGATTGTACACTTGCACCTTAATTAGTGCCT